AGAACATGGGTGAGACTCATCACCGCCAAGATTGATGCTGAACAAGTCGTACGCAACATTACGAAGCGATCCACACTAGAAGAAATTCACCAGGGTCTCAACTTGGTGGGGTTCTCGCGGCCGTTTGTATCACCTGAAACGACTAGGAGATGTGAATATAATGACTTCGAGGACCACCAGTCGTCACCGGCGCCGCTGAACTTGTCTTCCGGCTCCGAGCTTCGCCTTTGATCTGACCAAAAGAACAGAAGTCCAATTCAGTTCCGTTTTCACCCCGAGGACCAAAGATTGTGGAGTTACCCAAAGTCAGGAAAGTGACAGGTGTTGGCAACGACGGCTGACCGAGTCCTCAAGGCCTCAGGTTTCAAGGTCCGCTATCCCCGCAAATCCCACGCAAATTTGACATGGATTGACTCAATAATACAATGGAATTTCTTGTTGCTTCGAACATGCACATATGTATCGCGTGTAAGGAGCAAGCGTTTGTTCTAAAATACGTTGAGTTAGTTCTCCACCTGAGCACTGAACTTCGTCATCACCGCATCACAGGGCAAGCCTCGTTTGCTGCGGTCTGTCAATACTTAGATCAGCCATTCCCCGCTTGTTGAACGAGTCACCAATTCCGTAGTATTTGAATGGGTGCATCACGAACCGCATACCCCTTCGAACAAGCACCCATGCCCCAATACAACTCTCGGAAATACAGTTAACTTGCATCTACAATCTACACCAGGGAGGGATACAAGCATTGAAAATGATCGAGCTGCCGACAGGTCAACTATTCAGCATCTCACCAATGACGAGGCCCAGTTCAGCTCCAAAGATCATAGCCACTCGTGCTGCTGGGCCGCTTCCTGTCCGTTGACACCGCCGAATACCGACTCCGCCATACCCCCAAACTCTGTCCATCATTGAGGCGGCGATCTTCACCCTCGATTGCTACTTCCTAATGGCAAATAGCCACACAGGATTGGAAAATTATCTGTCCTGGTGGCCATGGCCCTAACGCGAATGTTAAAGGCGAACTTGAAATTCTACAAGGCCAAGCTCCAATACCACCCCACACACCACGCGGCCGATCGAGCGGGGAACAACAAAATTGGCGGGGGGATTTCTGCGTGCCTGTAAATAATAAACTTACCCGAGGCGAGCATTAGGTGTATTGTCACAGTTAGTTTGGGGCGTGATTACATCGCATGGCTGTGGGCATCACGAAGGGACTAAATGTGATATTACCACGGGTGCGAGAATAAAAGCGCGTGCAGTGTTCATGTTTTCCAGTGGAAGCCCCAATAAGCGTACCTATCACAATAGAACCTAGATAAATATGCCGCATGTGTGAGGTGGAAGGTCGCAGGTGGGTTCGGCATACGGCGCCAAGGTTTTGTTGCTCCACCCCCTTCTCCTGCCTTCATTCGAGGCTATTTATGAGCTGGGTTCCTGTGATTGAAGAACCCTTGCGCTTGTCGTGAGGTTCATGGCGAGTGGCGTCCGAACATCCAGGAATTCTTCAGCCTTATTTTCGTTTATACCACGCATCAGACACATGGCTAGGTATACCGAAATCGTCATCAGATATTGGGTGGGCCTGCGTCTGTTGAATCTTCCGCTCGTCGGGCCACTCCACTAGGATACCGGATAGTCATCTCCATATGGGCGCTCGTGCAAATGCTGGGGCATTGGATACCGAGTAAGTGTATATTGGGAAAGATGATGATTATGGAGATTGTCATACGAGTGTCTAGATCGTATCGGTCTGACTGTATTGAAAGCTATGAATCATAGTTGGCTGACGTCAATATGCAAATTCAGATATTAAACCTTGGTGCCTATTGCTTCATGAGGTAGATTCAGTAGCCGGAACTGGGGATATCGGTTCTATGGTCCCCAGTTATGTATTGCGATCGACATTATAGGGTACGATTTGGGCCATCGCCGGTTGGTACGATGTGATCATTGAATCCAGGCGGGATACTGACACGTGTGTTAGCTAAGATAGGATTGCACTGAACCTAGGGGGGAGAATAAGAGGACATCCGCAACTTAAGCCTACTTCGCCTCGGTGTGATCTTCGGGCGTTTCTCGGATAGGACAGTCATGATTCCTTATTTTATCAGCAGAAGAAAAGTTGGAACGGCATTTGATTAACCAGCTCAGTGGATTTAGCATACTGGGGATTTTATGGGAGGGTACTGCGGGGGGGAGGGGTATAGACAACTTACGGGGAGCTTGGTGAGTGAGCGAATACGGGTATCAACGAAATCAGCTCACGGTGAGGTCTGGCGCCGGCCCAGAAACACAGCAAGTACACTAAATAGAGTATTCTAAGGGGAGCGATAACGATGGACCGCCGGTTCGTGATAAAGGGGCGATGATTGCGTCGACAATCCCCCGGGGCGTTCCAGCGTCCATCGTGGGTAGAGATATAGAGTGCTGTCGGGAAAAAGCTGTAAAACGTGTTTGGCCATCCCGTACATCGACAACATGTGCCGATTGTAGAGCGTATGTGGAATCAGGGTACCTGTACCACGACTGATGCATTATCCTATGCAGTCCCCCGTTCCTCAAAGCAAAGCCCAGCACTGCCCACGGGTGCGCACAGCAATGTCATCCTCAACCCCATCACAAAACCCCCGAAAGAGTCCTAGTAACCAATTCACCCCAATATTCGACCAATCAATCGTACTTAACAATAGAACTCGCGATCCCTGACACCCCCACGGGGGAGCAACGGCGCACCCCAATACCCCAATACCGACCTACGACGATCGCGACAAGTCGGTAGCGGTACGCGGGTCCGTCTTGCCATAGATCCTGGTCAAGTGAAAATCCCTGAAAGCAGCGAACCGGAACCCAAGCGGCAGGCGACCCCTAGTGGCGCTGACAATGGGATGTTGTTCAAAATTGAAATGATATCCTGTCATCTTGCCTAACTAAAAATTTGGTCTGATACTTCATGGATACGCTCCTGTGATTGGATCAGTTCACGGGAACTTATTTTGCGCGAACCAAGCACTCCTCACCAAATCTTTCTACTGGGGTGCCGGTGAGGCAGAACGCGCAACCGGCAAGCCCGTCGAACATACCCCATCTAGGAGGGGCTTGTCTGAGGAAAATTTAACTCCCTGGTTCTGGGTTCCCCAGAAGGAGAATGTCTTCGCACATGTGGATCAACGAGCTGGGTGGGCTCCTGGGTCGATAGTTTGGAACGAGACACAGATAAGCAAAATACCAACAGTTCAAAATCGATATATAACTTCCATTTGATCTGGGAAAGGACCCCATGAGCGTCAAACATAAGGATTGTACTGGGAACTAGAGCCTGGGTCTTGAGTCAGCACGATCGTTGTTGATTTAGGTGAACGGATTGGAAACTGGAAGGACTCACCCAGATCCTGTGTTAGCTTGAACATAACCAATCATTGCCATTCCTAAACGGCTTGGCAGCGTCCAATTACGGGGGAGGTATTATTTCCCGGGCCTGTTTGAGCTAGACGCTACAATAATGACATTTGCGAAAAAGGCTCGTAAAAGACTGGGTGACTTCCCGCAAGAGTCTGTAGCATCCAAATATTCATAAATCGCTACCAGCCGAGATGCCGACGCTCCGTTTGGGTTATTTTCTCAAATTTTAGCATCGGCAACTTGCAAGCCACTCAACGTCTAACTCGGAGGCCTCCCGAGTCCCGACCCCTCCCCAGATACAGAATGCACTTCAAATCCCTTGAGAGAAATCATATCAACATATTTTCCACTCCAGCAGTCACTTTTGGACACCGAGTGGTCGCCGACCCCACTCAACGCTAAATTTGGCCTTCTAATGATGTTGAAATTTGAGGTGAGTACAGCCTTTCAAAATCTGGAGGCACAGATACCATCAATTAGAAACCCCGGTTTATATCACTCTAGATCTACGGGAAGGCACTCACTAGGCACTTACTCGGCGGGATGAAGTTAGAGATTCGAGTAGGTCCTGAGATCTTGAGCTCGCGGTGGGGCTCCAAGGATAGATTTGGAGTTTCCAAATATACATTTTGCCATTAGACTGGCACGTTCGTGATGGCGAATAGCACATCTACCCAGCGTATTTTATGCTGTCGCAACCATTCCAAGTTGTCCAATAACCCCCATGTCCAGACCCCAATCTCAGAGTAGGAGCGACGCCGGCCACCGAGCCAGAGAGGAAATGATCCTGCGATGGCGAGATGCAACAAACCAACACCGTGACACGCTGGTTGACCCTCATCGATCGACACCCTCTGTACACGATGATCCCATCCTACCTTCACAGCATTCACGCCGGTATCACACACATGGCGACCCGCAGGTTCTTTCGCGGTCTGAGAAACCCCATTACTCTTCACACTCTAGCCGTTCGTCACACCGACACAATAGGGGATCCAAATACTCAAACACTTCTAATTCGCACCCCCTACTTGACATAGCGCGCTCGCATATTTCCCAGTCCCCACCCAACTTGAACCCCCCGTCGATGGTGCTGGTGCCAGGTCCACGTGGCTTTGATGCCGAACCACGCTCGCCATCATCTTTACACAGCGCTAGCCCACCTTCCGCCCAGTCTACCAGCTATATTTTTGGTTCGTGCTCCACTTACATAGTCCGACCACGACGTCACCAAGCCGTTGTGATTCCCCACGCTAATGGGGGATATATTGTGGTACCCCCCACAAGGGACGTGTGGAAGTCCGGGTATGTCAATGCGCCAGCCACAGTATCTGAATTACTGAATTGGGATCAATAGACCTCATCGACGGCCCCACCCCCATCCGTGGTATCCGTATCTAGGAGTCGCACGAGCCATAGCGGGCATGGAGTGTGAGCCTAACAACACAACATTTCTTCCTTTCATGGTCGTTTAGCAACCCTGTAATGTACAATAACGAGAATGGAAATACACGCTACCATTCACATCAATGTCCAGCATCTGTCGTTTAACCATCCACTTGCAGCTGGAACAGTAAAAAACATAGGCAAAAGAATGGATGAATACGGGTTCGAACCGCAGACTTCTCGCAGGCTTATATATGCAAAGCGAGCGCTCTACCAACTGAGCTATACACCCGTGGAAGATGGCTCCCCCCTGTGCGCGAGCTCGGGAGGCTACCCTGGGCGTCGGTCGCACGACTGCTGTACTCCCCTCATGGATGGGTAGTGGCCTGAGACAACCATTTGGCTAGACTAGGACCTTGGCCAAGATCTAATCGGTAACTCGTTGTCCCCACAGGTGAGCTTGGCAGCGCTATCCAATGGGAACCTGATGAAATAGAAGTGTGGTATTACAAGGCCAGTACCTGAGGCCAATGAGGCCATGGTTACGAATGGTTCGACATATTGAAAAAAAGAATGCATGTCACCCTCGTTTTAGAATTAGATACCCTCGAGGGCTGATTGACACCGAAAATATCAAGAACCTAAATTGGCTGAGCTGAAATGTGACAAATACAAGCATCAATCCCGAAAAAGGTCATAAGTGTTCTTTTCTCCCGCGACCCATACGTGATCCAGGAGAATTAATAAGAAATAAAGTATTCAGCGGCACTACTCTGTGCCGTGTGGTATGGCAGTGGTCGGTTCAATCCATGTCGTATTGAATGCTCCGCTCCACATTAATTTCGAGCTGAGGTTTGTGTTAGCAATGGGGAATAGAACGGGCGAGCCCGCCACACCTTTCCGCCCTTCGAGGATTCCGGTCTTTTTTGTGATGACTGTGGGGAAGTTAGAACACACATTCACACGTAGTGGCGAGGGGGTTCGGCAAATGGGATGCCCCAGAAATGGTACACATAAAACACATACCGAACGACGAGGATCGAGATGAAGTATGGGCGGAAGGAACTCCCCCGACTTAGAATTGGTAAGACGGAGTTTCTGGCGAGTATTCAACCTTAATTGAAGGGGATATATAAGCCCATGATACAAAGCGCGACGGGGAAAAGGGAGTACGTACGTCACCAGGAGTGAATTTGCGTATACTATTTCAAGTCAGCGCCAACGACAACAATACCCACGTGGTTCACATACATTTTCCAATCACAAAGTGCAGGCCCATAAATATAAGATTGTTTTGCGATGCCAGCCACTGGACATACCACATTAGGCATAGCCAATTCGAGGAACGTGGATAACTCACGCATAGCATAGCAGCAATCGTCCCAGCGCTAAACAGGGCATCAGGCGTTGCTGTTCAATAAGAATCGACAAATATCTACCATGTGAGTGAACCAGTCTCAAAGGCGTATAGAATTAACATGTCTATCACGCGATTGAGCCTGAATTCGGGTTAAACAAGCCATTAGTTGTATAGAATAAATCGTACCGAGCACCGTCTGGGCGACTTTTCTGAAGGAGGAAAAAGAGAGAGCCTGTAATAATCACATCGATAGCGGAGGAAAGAGCGAGGCCCAGCGTGAAAAGCCACTTTGTAGGGTAGTATGATTAGCAAAGAGCCTATGACAATACCGGGAAAGAGGCTAACGCGAAAATGTAGCCTAAATGTCGAAAAGCTGTGGGTGTGAATCCTAGGAAGGAGATTAGCGCGGGTAGCAGGAATGTTTGATTGCTTACATTTCTGCTGTTGTTGCTTCGAGATCAGGAGATTAGCCGCGAGGGTTGAAACGTTGACGCCAGACATTTATCTCACCAGCAGCAGAAACTAGTAAAGAAAACATGAATGAGCGAGAGTTTTTGAGAAACGGACCAGTGAAGTTACCTAGTCTCAAAAGGGCAAGTATGACCTTTTTCAGCAAAATAAATATCACAATAGAAAGGGTACCACATCAATACTTACGATTGGTATGGTTAGAGCCCAGTTTTGCTTGCTGACTATATCGGAGCTGGTTGAGCATTATCGTTCATCAATGTAAGTTGACCTACGTCTGAATATACGATGCGCAAAGAAACTGCTTATTCATGAGGGAGATTATGAGTGGATTGAGGAAATCGTGCATACCAATGAACAAGGAATGTGAGAATAGCCTATGACTATCTCAGCCCACTAGAAATATAAAGAGGGAGGATACGAACAGTAAAAACCACTGTGAACTGGATGTACTGGTCTTAGGAGCGTTAAATGTCAAAAGATGAAACACTTGCCGCCATCGTCCTGCCGTTTGCATAAGAGTTAGTCGCTTTTCGTTCTGTATTCAGCCCGATTGTGCGCACCAGGGAATAAAATCAATCCCATTGGCTTCGCCGAAACGATCGACAATATAATCCCATAAGGCCGCCCAGATGCAAACAGTGTGGCAGACGTCGAGAGTCCTGGAATAATTAGCATGACGAAAGGCGCAATGGTCAGGACCTCACCATACAGAAAGAACCTATGGGACGTGTTCAAGGTTAGAATAACAGTCTAAGGGAGTAGTACGACAGCCATACTATCAGCCTGGTCCTTCGGGAATCCTCCGGGTACATTTTCAGATAGATCACGACCTGGACAGCGATGAGTCCCGACAACCTATCGGAGACCCAGGCTTAGAGTCACGGATACGCGGGCAGGATTTGGACAGAACATACACCGCAGCAAACAGGCCGCCAAGGAGGAGCGCTCCGTATGTCGCCGGAATAGTAGGTTGGGCCATCTCTCTGAGTGAAGAAAAGGGGAAGAGGGGTATCTAGTCCTATCCGATCCCACATTCATAAAGTATGGATCGGTAAAGAAAGGCGCCCAGTGGATGAGAAAATAGCCCCGTGGGTTTCGGCACAAAAGGAAAGTGGCTAGTATGCTTTCGTGGATACAACCGGTGAACACATTCAATCCGCAAAGAGAAAGAGTGCGGGAAGTCACTGGAGCTATACATAGACTGTAGATGCCATAATTTAGTCCATATGGGAGAGTTGGATGATCCGATGTCATAGATAGTTCTTGCAACACAGGAAAATCCTCGACCCCAATTAACGGTTATATGAATTGACAGAGAGTATGACTTCTGCGCCCCACCTGTGAATGCCAGAATATTGGTCTCGTCCCCATCTGTGTTCAGGCGGAGCGTTTCGGCTGGTAGTGAAATCTGAGAGTCAGGTCTGTGCCGTTGAGCCGTGCGCGTGAGCATTGCTTGGCGTGACGCCTAGCTTACAAACACAATTGGAATAAGATCGTGTAAATCATTGATTTGAATTTTGGAACCCGCTCCAACAAGAACCTATTTATAATGTCAATGAATGCTCTCACACCGCAATGGCATTGCGGGTGCATTACGAGGAAGGAACTTGCTGATCAATACAGATTCTTGAAGCTTGAAGACACGAGAATATGCCTCCCTGCACAGGAAATACAATCCCATGGGCACTCGCGACGTGTTAGCATCAAAGGACCAATGGGTTTCATCAACGTCAAAGTCATACTCAATGTCAAGCTTTGTTGGGCGGAACCCATAGTAAGTATGAATGTATTACGCATTCCCCTATTTGAGTTTGATGCAGTGCAACACGCTTCAAGAACATCATTGAGCGCAGTGTTCCCGACTGACTGCACTATTATAGCCCTATAAGAGCTCTCCTGCATGAAAATTCATTGAATTTGCCCCAGAGGCTCGCCCTCAGACTCACCACTACTACTTCGTCATGTCACGGGGCCACATAGTCGCCAATTTCATACCCCGCTGCCGCTTCGTTCAACCCCGACACGGTGGGAGGACCGGAGTGACATCGCTTGGAATCAAGATGCATACGGGACTCCTCAAACAATGCATCTCTCACTCTCAAACTCGTTGGAAAACGCTCTCATAATACATAAGATGGGATGGGCCAAATTTAGGAGGAAATAGATCAGTCGGTGTGTCGATCTGTCACCTGTGGCGAAGTGATGATGATCATTGACGAAGGCGAACTTCTGGGGTAATAGTATGTGACCAAAACAAATAAAGGTGGGGCTGTGTAACCTTCTTGGGCTGACTTGAAGCGCCATCAGCTGATGTCCTCTAACAGGTGATGTGGGCAATGTTACAGCTCACATGTTGATATAAGAACGCTATAATTGGACTACGACTCGGTGGGACGAACGTCTCAGAGAATGAGAATATTATCTTCCATCTGTCGTTCAGAAACGCCACTTGGTTGGGAATTTTGATGTGGTTGGGGCTCGTGTTCGGCCACTGCTGGGGCGGGGAAGGATTTGGATGACATCATTTCCTGAGCATTCAGTTGCGGCATCCCTCGGCCAGCGTGACAGCCTCTCTGGTCTTCTCGAGAAACTCATCTCATGTGCTAGCCCACTCCGCCAAAAATGTTCCAAAAGACAGATGAAAGATAATACCAACAGGTCCAGATTTCTGGGCGGCACGAACTCAACTCGTTGGGTTGATAGCTGGTACCATATGATCTGCCAAATAGAAATGTTGATCAGTGTTAATTGCATTGAGGGTGGATGGTGTCCCGATGAGAGATACATGCCCCAGTGGGGTAGACCTCGGTGATAACAGGATGGGGCTAAACTAGAAATGTGGAAGGGTCGAGAAGCCGCATCGTAGGCATCAGCCAACCTTCGGGAAGGAAGGGAACGCTGTGGCTGGATGCCTGGATGAACATCCAATAAAGAAAGCGAATGGCGTGAAATTTTTACCTTGATGCGAAAAACTTACGAGCAAGACCTCCGTCACCAATAGGCATCATAACAATTGTCAGAACACAAGAAACCTTGGAAACGAGCTAGCAGCAATGCTTCGCCGATCTCGAAGGATTCCAAATTAAGAGAAGCCGCACAGGCTCCGTGTAACGAGTTCAGCGAAAAATTGTAGTGGAGTTGGAGCTATCCCCAAACGAATGAGAGAAAGCACACTGAACCGTATGGCCGCGCGGGTGAGCATGGTATGTGCCGCCCTCGCCGGTTCCGGCAGGCTGCAAGAAGCGCGCCAAAATATATACCGTTCACAGACGGGCCTAAAAGATTTTCTCGGGTCCTTGTACATCAAGAAACTCGCGAGCGTTGGGCATTGAACATGCTGAACATCGAATTATTTCAATATCTTACCACGCTTGCCATAAAACTCGGCCCCGGTGAAAACGGCGCGAATGGAGATTCGAGCAGAAAGCGGCGTGGGCTCACAACTACGCCTCTTGCGTAGA